ATCAGTTCGTAGTATCCTCATGGCTGTGTATTTCTTTGGTCAAGGCTGCGCTACTATGTTGAAGTTTGCAAGCAGCAAGTCCAAACGCTGTATGTATGAACATCTATTCATGACTACTCAAACAACGCAGGCTTTACGAAGGGATACTCTCCTGCAAACTGTTTCTTCTGGCTTTGCGGCCTGGAAGCCACTGTCAGGGATATGGACCAAAACACAAGCGTGGTACCTGCGAACGGCTGCACATCCCTACGACCTCGATGATGTGCAGTTCTCATATCCTCTTGCCTCTGACAACCGTGTGCTCAAGGCATATCAGTGACCATCCGTCCAGGGCAGTAAGCTGCTCTTGTGGGGAACTCTGGTTGTGGTAAAAGTACGATGGTGTCTCTTCTTAAGCGGTTCTATGATCCGATGAGTGGTCGGATCACCATTGAAGGCTCACAAGATATTGTCGATATTAATCATCGTCGCGCTGTTTCTCTCATGCAGCAAGAGCCCGCACTGTTCCAAGGCACCATCAGAGACAACGTTTCCCTGGGGGTCGGCCAGGATGACAGCGGGGAGATAACCATCGATGACACTACCATCAAAACCGCTCTTCGCGCTGCTGACGCCTAGGCCTTTGTCACTTCGCTCCCAGAGTGCCTCAACACCTCTTACGGCAAGGGCGGTGCACAATTCTCTGGAGGATAGCGACAGCGTATAGCAATTGCTCGAGGACTGATTCGCAATCTGAGGGTCATTCTCCTGGATGAAGCTACGGACACCGAGTCCGAAACAATAGTGTAAACCGCTCTGATGGGAGCTGCCTCAACCGACAATAAGATGACGATTGCAGTTGCTCATCGTTCATCAACGATCACGAATGCAGATCGTCTTTCGTTTTCTATAGCGGACGAATTGTCGAGGCAGGGTGCACACGCAGAGCTACTTGCCCGGGGCGGTATGTATGCTAAGATGTGCGAAGCGCAAACCCCTCAAAAAGCTCTTTAGGCAATGAAAGTTTCTGTTTTCTAGGTTGTCACTTCTTTTTCTTTACCAAAATCACAGCTTCAAATCACAGCTTCAACAGCAGGTACCTTGTCATTATTACGTACTGCTAAATCATTTGCACAGAAGCACATATTGTATGAATCTCTGGGTGGACTCTTTCTCTCTAAAATACGTCGTAGTGAGCGGCTCAGAGCGGTTGCGAGTTGAGCTCAAGACCCCAATCCATGTAAGTTTCCATTTATGGGCCCGGAAGTAGATCAGGTTCAGTATACAAACGTCAGTCTATCCAAAACGGACAAAAAAGAAATGAAAAGAAAGGGACTGCACCAGTATAGTTTTCGCTCCCTAGATCCGGAAGCTTGATAGTTCGGACAATTCGACATATCGCAGCGCGCTGGTTCATGTCAGTTGTCGAGTTTTCACGGAGGCGTTTGATTATAAAGACACACAATATGCCAAAGCTTAGGCTAATACCGACGATGACCATTTTTCTTCATTTGTTTTCGAGTGGCGTATGAAGATCCACGGAAAGATGGCAAAGAACACTTCACGAACACGCAAAAACCTGTTGCTTGGTGTCAACAGCCTGTGCCATGACAGCAATGCTCTGAAAGCCAGCTTGAACTTACAGCCGAGAAAAATTGCCCAAGGGACTGGCTCTATGATACAACGTCCTTCAACTCTCGAGTCATATATGCGCTGCGCTGGCAGACATTTAGCGTCTGTTAGTGGCCAGTACCGACGGGTAGCTATCATGGCGTATTCTACCTGGATCCAGCACAAGATGGCCGTCATACAAGACGCGAACAAGAGTGAGCCTCCGGCACGCCAGATGGACAATCGATGCCATCTGACGACCACAGTTCTCAGAGGAAATAGAGCAAGAGACATCTTGCTCAATCCCATGCCGAGAATGTCGAATGTCTAGCTCCCACTTGTGCGCTGTTGCCGTGGCATCAAGAGATGAAGTGTGTTGGTCTCTTTCGGGTCCATAGTTTGCCGAGATGTGCAAGAAGAGGTTATGGAGAAACAGGAATACCTGCGATTTCACCCTTCAGCATCCGGCCCGTTTCAATACCAATTGCCAGTGATGTTCTTGGGTCGGACAAAGTTGATCATCCGGTCATGTTGACGACCAAGCGAGACTAACCCAGCTCCCGGAAGTACATATGATCAACAACTCCAACAGGGCGTACAACGAAAATTCGGGTGTACAGTCGAAGAAGAAGGAAAATGAAGACGACGACCGCCGAGTCGCCGACTACTGCGGACTAATTTAGCCAAGGTGAGTCCAAGAGTCAATGATATCATGCACCAGTCAAGATGCTGGTCACGACAGAGTGGCACAGGAGGCAAAGACCAACACAAAACGCATACATACCACTCACATGATAATGAGGACTTGTGGGGCCTCACCTCCAATCATCTTTACTGGCTTAGGGTATGCGCGCCCGCGAGAACATGCCCGGGCGAGGTGTTCGTGATGGAACGCACAATATGATCTGAGCAAAGAGATCCAGAAAATCACTTAGGGAGGAGGGTCCTTTGACGACGACCATAAGCAAGACATCGGCAGCTGTCCCACACGCCCTATGCTCAAGGGCCACACGAACTCGCTTGGCCACTGAACGATCTGAAAGGAGGCCCGCGCCAGGATCTCGGCTGGAGGATTTGGGTGGGAACCCCTGTATCGTTCATCCAACCTTGTCTTCGTAGGGTCCGATGAAGCTAAAGGGATGGCATCAGCTTGGTCCAGGCTAGATTCGCCTCAGCCCCCTCCAGATCGGTAAATCCAGTGCCGTTAACCTGAGAAGTAGAGTCATTGCCTACCCGGGTGCAAGTTGACGCGATGCAATCAACTGACTTGATTGCTATGAAGGCCATCCGGTTATCTTCTGCTCATGCGGGGAGGGGGCCCAGGAAACTCCAAGAGCCCAACAAGGCAGCCGACTCGCGATCTTGTCCCGCATTTTAGCGATAGTGGATGGTCTTGGCCCCCTTCGCCTCTCTGTGGACCTGGCGAATCAACGTATCACGGGGGATACGGACCGCTGCCTATTGTGCAAGGAACATCGATTGAATTGGTCTCGAGGTGCAGATGCAGAACAGGGGGTTCGATGCAACCCGGTGAAGATGTGGACCATATGAAGGAGAGGGAAATCACTTTTTTTGATCAATTAACCCCCAGCCGACCTGGACTGAATCGGCGCTCCTTTGTGACACACCTTGTTCCCCGACTCGTGGCTGCTAATCTTGCCTTCCAATGTCGTCGTTGGATCTGCCGGATATCCTGCCGCAGAAGGTGCTGCATGTGGCGAGCCTCGTCCTCTTAGCTTGGGTCACTTGGTGTGTATGGGCGTACACGACGTCGCCGCTAAGAAAATACCCAGGGCCGTATCTTGCAGGTGTGTGCTACCAAACTTACCTTGAAGACTGACCAAGTGGCTGATGCGATCACGCCTGTGCGACATCAGGATGGACCAATCTCTGGAGATTCTACCATGTTTTGAACCTTGATTCGCATCTTGTTGTTGCACGTCTCCACGAAAAGCATGGTCCGGTCGTTCGAATTGGACCCAACCTACTCAGTCTAAAAGATCCTGCTTTGATCAAGACAATTTATAAGTATCAGGATGATTGGGTCAAGGTGAATATCCCTCGCCGTCTTCCTCCCATATCTTCCGTTGGCACACGCCATAACAGCTTGCTTGTCATGGGCAGTTAACACGCCGGAGTAGACCAAGTTCTACCATGGCGGCTCAACGAGAAACTTTGCCGGTAAGCCAATATTCAACGTCTTCGGCTTATCAGACCGAGAAGACCACGCGCGTGTGAGAAAGCCAATCGGGAGGCTTTACTCGCCGGCCGGTGCGCTGGCCATTGAGAAGCATGTCGACAAGGCCATCTCCCAGTTTCTCGCCCAATTGGACCAGCGCTTCGTCAATGGGCCGAACGCAGGGGTAGTGTGCCAGCTCGAGCAATGGTTTCTGTATTGTCAGTACTCAGACCCGACGCTGAGGAACCGGGGCTTTTGCTCACCAAGATTTCAGATGCGTGGGACGTCGTCGGCGACATCACCTTCAGCCAGCCCTTTGGATACATGAAGCACGGCCGTGACTTTGACGGCACCCTCGCTGATTCGGAAATGGCGATGAACTACTTCGCAGCCGTGGGCCAGATTCCCCTAATGGATTTCGCCGGTGCCCAAAACCCGCTGCTAAAGCTCATTTCGAAAGCGCCCTTCACCACAGCCAACGCTATTGCGCGCGGCCATCTGGTCAACCGACTTGCCGGAAACGACAAGGACAAACACGATCCAAGCATCCCCGATTTTCTGGATGGATTTATCGAGGCGCAAAAGTTATACCCGGAAGTTGTCTGTGATGGACAGATCCAATCGTGGGTTCTGCATCCCCAAAGTCTAGAGAAATACTAGGTTGACAGCAAGCAGATATCTCCTCATCAACCTCATCGCAGGCGCTGACACAACAGCCATTTCGTTGTCTTCTGCGATTTACTTCAGCCTCAAACATCCCAGCGTGTGGGCTCGACTCGAGGAGGAAGTCCTAGCCGCGGACTTACCAGACGACGACCCCGCCTCTTACAAGCAGGCCCGTACCCTCCCGTATTTGAACGCGGTCATTCGTGAGTCCATGAGACTTCATCCCGGTGTGGGCATGCACCTAGAGCGCTACGTACCCGCGGGCGGCCTGCGGTTGCCTGATGGGAGTCTCGTACCGGCCGGCTCCATGGTCGGGATGAACCCGTACATCGTCAACCGGACGGTGGTCTTTGGCAATGACAGTGGCGAGTTCAGGCCTGAAAGATGGCTACAGAGTCCGGGAGAGAGAACCGAAGAGTACGAGAAGCGGCTTGTCGAGATGAACGATGCCGAGCTCTCATTCGGCGCTGGAAGCCGGATCTGCGGTGGACGGCACATTGCAAGTTTGGAAATGTCCAAATTGATTCCTACGTTGATCAGACGATACCGTATTGAATTGGTTAATCCTGACGAGGAATGGGTTGTGAAGAAGGGATGGTTCATGAGACAAACTGGGGTCAATGTCAGGCTACAGCGCCGATAACTGTCGTCACAAGTGGGCGCATTCAAGCAATGAGCATCAAATCCGAGATTGACAAGCAAATAAACAGTTTCTTTTGAAATGGAATGGTCTGGTATCAGAAGCTAAACACGCTTACCCCGAGCTATGGGATATTTCCTGAGCACAACAACGATGGGGGATGTGAGTAGCAAGCAAGAGCTTATCACTCAGTTACAGCCTTCTCCTGGCCCTCAATCCTCTTCTTCTCGTGGTCATCGGGCGTCGCCGTGCCTGAAACACCCTCGTTATCTCCCTGACCATCGGTGATCACGTGTCTCGTGGGCTTTTTCCCTCCGAGCATGCTCTTCACCGTGTGAATCAGGGTTGCGCGGCCCTCGAAAATCGGATAGAGACCAACAGCGCAGAAGGAACAGAAGATCCACATTATGCCGACAACGACCCAACCGGTGAAGAACGGTTTGCTGAAGATGTAGCCAGAACCGTACATGGGCATAGGCCAGAGAATGAGCATGGCAAGAGTCCTACACACGTTAGCCGGGTACCGCGAATGCATAGAAACGAGAACGTACATGATGACTGTGGCGGTGACTGAGATCTTGAACGCGCGACGGAGCATAGCCTGTTCGCGCTCAAATTCCTCGCTTGTCTCCTGGTGGCCACCGGGAGTCTCCTCCAAATCGACACCAGCGGCATTAGCGAGATCATGGTCATCGCCCTTGCGGATCTCCATCATGGACTGCCAGTCGTACTTGTCGACACCGAAAATGAGGGTGAAGATCGGGATCAAGATCAGAGGAGAAAGAAGAGCCACAACGTTGCCGACTAGCATAGGGGTGTTGGATCCGGTGCAGGTGACATCGAGAACGCCGCAGTCCTTCTTGGCCGTAACAAGCCAAGAAATGATGGCAAGGATGGTACCAAAGATGGGCGTAAGTGTTGCAGCCCACTTGTTCTGGCCGCGCCAGATGAGAGTCAGGGTGGCAGGCAGAACAGCGGCCGAGATGAGGACTCCCATAAGAACGTAGAGATAGCCCATGGAGATACCATTGTAAAACAAGCCGACGGAAACAGAGCTGATGACTAGGGCATAGCAGACGACAACGACGTGAGAGAAGTGGATGAGGCGAGCACCAGAAGCATCGGGCTTGAAGTATGTGCGGTAGACGTCGTAGGTGAAGATGGAAGAAACGGCAATAAGCTCAGCACTGCTGGCAGATGTAACAGCCATGAAAACCATGAGCAGAGTGGCGACAGCACCACCCTTGCCGAGAAGTGCAACCGCAGCGTAGGGCAGGGCGAGGCCAGCAGAGACCTCAGCTTCAGTCATGCGGTCTGGGAAAGTGGGGAATCTGGGGTCACTTTCGAGAGCAAGGGCAGAGAGTCCCATGGTGGTAGCTGTGAGCCAAGGAATGGCGAACCAGGACAGACCGCCGATGATGTAGCCGGGGAGAGCGTGGACAGGTGAAGCAGCGATAGCCTTGTTATAGTAGCCATTGTCGAGGAAAACGGTGCCAAAGTTGCCAACGATGTTGATTACGAAGAACTCAACACCGCCCTGGGATCGCATCGTCAGGTAGGATCCTTCAGCGTTGCCAGAGACGGGATGGCGAGAGGCAGCTTCAATGAGCAGGTCGTAAACCTTGGAAGGACTGCCCAGCACATCGGAGCTGGCGTAGGCTGTGAGGGAGAAGATGATGATGATAATGAGGAGAATGAAGGTATGGATAAAGTCTGTGAGAAACGTTGCTTTGAGACCCTATCAAATGTTAGCATGGTTGATTGTGTCGCTCAGGCTTGCTATTACTTACTCCGACGATGGTGTAGGCCACAACACCAACAGGCAAGAGGAAGATGGCAGCAACAGTGTGCCTTTCAGCGTCAGTATCTCCGGTGCTTGAAAGGTGGGCTCGATGACTTACATGCCAGTCAGAGCGTTCACAGTAGCGGCACCTCCAACGATCAGCATCAAGGTGACGAGGATATTCGTCATGAGGCCAAAGACGATGAAGACAAGATGGGCAGGGGTCCCATAGCGGGCTTTGATGACCTCGAGGAATGTGTGGGCGTTGGGCGCCCTTCTCTTGAGCTCGATGGCGATGGTCGCAAACAGGAGAATCTGGACTGTGGCCCCAGACGCATACCAGAATGGACCGGAAACGCCATAACGGTAGCACACACCAGAAGATTGAAGAAGGGTGGCTGCCCAGGTCCAAGATGAAACGACAGCAGAGCCAACAAGACCAGACTTGACAGTTCGGCCGGCGGTGGTAAACATCTCTGACGTCTGCAACTCTCTGTTGTACCGTCTGAGGACATAGGTGGTGGCGATCATGCCGATGGCGAAGAGAAATCCAACACCAAGGACGATGCCGTAGCCGACGCCCTGGTTGAGAGCTGCGGTAACCATGGTGTCTGTCTGTGGGAGCTCCTGGGCTCTTCGAGGAGTCGAGTGCTGCTTGTAGTTTCCAGGTATCCACAACCTCGGGGGCCTTGGGATCTATATATGTGCTACCTGCGGGTTCGTGGTGGTGGGATCAAGGTGGCCGCCGGCAGAGCATCAGAGTTTCACATGAAGCTGCATTGCACTTGGGCAGCCGCAAACGTGGTAGACGAGTCGCGTGCCGGAGGACCATGGGGGTGGCTAACGAGGGCCACCCCGGCATTTGGTGCGCGGGGAGACATGGAACACGGGGGGTGGGTTTCGCGGCGTATTCGAGGCCGGGCTATCATGATGATGGCCGAAGGCCAGGCAGGGTAGGATGTTCGGCATGCTTTCAACTTACAGCCATGTGCGAGGTCCGACGGCCGATGGCGGCGTGGAGAAAAGGGTCCAGCGCCTGGCAAGGCAGTCAGTATGTTCCCTTAGTCAGAAGATTGTCGACATGCAGAGGAGGTTGTCGTCGGGGTAGAGATAAGGCCAAGAGATTTGAGCGGTCATAGAATTGAGGCTAACCTCAAAGCTCTGTCAGGGGTGACGTCCAGCCAATGACCACCAGCAGATGAGGCCGACGGAGCGCACCAAGCAGGAGGATGCGGAAGGGGCTGATTGGACTTGGCCGACGGCGAGGTCAAGATAAGAGCAGTCCATGGTTGACCTGATCAGCGGTAGTCAGTACGAAACGCGAAGTTCTCTGAGATGGCTGTGAGAAAGTCTGCCGTTGGTTGATCCTGTGACAAGCGGCCGCCGTGGTGTTGGGGGTTGGCTCCCAGAGTGGGAGATAAGGAGCTCGGACCCTGTGCGAGGGACATCTCCGTGGGGCAACAATGATCTCGCGTTTCTTTCAAGAGGCGTTGAGGATCACTTTTCAGGATACAGGTAGGTAGACAAATGTCGATGTGAGCAGAAGAAGTGCGGCGAGAAAGCAGAAACATCAAAAGATATCAAGTTCTCAGACTTGACGGAAACAGTGACCCACAAAGGCAGCATTGGCGCCTGGGCATCGGAGGCCAAGCTTTTTTTCAAAGAGTCAAGTGCCACTGGGCACGCTTGGCGGGGCTGGGTCGCGATTGCCAAGTGGGAACTGGAGACCGTGATATCACAGGCGTGACTGCCCGATCCTAGTGCCTGAGCGGAACGAATGAGTAAGGAGCGTTGCTATCAAAGGAGCGCTTGATGCTACCTACAAGAGCCAGTACCCGATCAACGTTCTTGCCAGGTATCCAATGCACCTGCCACGGTACTGGCAGGTAGGTACCTTAGGTACCGTCCTTAGTCATGTCGGGAGGGGTGATGGGCATTCAGTCATCCGTTGAATCCATTGCTCACATACAAATGTCATCGATTTCAGCTTCGAATATGGTGGCTTGATGCCCCCGATTCTTGACGATCAACTCACGTCAAGATCGCAAGTCGGCCGGCGGCCACCATTCTTTAGCTGCTACCTTATCTTACTTGGATGATCGAGGCCACCCACGCTGGCCCTCTGTCCAAACAATGTAAGCACCACTCTCTGAGCGTACTCGCAGCCATGTTCCAGCATGGCATTTCGCCTCGCCGACAATCGGCATCAATCCATCGGCTTGCGTGCCGTCACGAAGGTTACCTTTCCAAAACACCGAACGCCCAGACCAGCTTGTTCACGCCGGATTCTCTGCATCAAGTCCCGGGTATCGCTCTCCGACCGCCCACACCTCCCGAACAAGGCGAGTGCATAGCACTCGAGTCCATAGTCAATAAGCTGCGCCAGTTGCGCTCCTTTCCTTTTCATCCGCTCATCCACCCCAGACGCCCGAATCGGCACCAAGTCTGACTTCTCCATGACCTTCTCAAACCCCACATCTTCCAACCAACCACTGACTTTGGGGATCGGATCGAAATCGATGCCCAGCTGCTGCGAGTACTCCGCCAAGCCCATCTCGAACTCTCGCGACGCCGGCATGACCGCGCCCTCCATTGTCAGCTCACTTTCTGCCCCCTGCGACGCGCCTGGCCCGTCGTCCTCAAAGTCGAACCAGCGTGATCGCACTTCTGCCACCTCAATCTGCCCACCTGGCCGGAGGTGCTGGAAAGCCTGGGCGTAGAGAGCCTTGAAGTCGCGCACACCGCCGCCGACCAGATTACGCACGTGGACAAAGTCTAGGTTCAGCGGCTGAGCGGCCCACGGCTCGTTGGCGTCGCTCACTTCAAAGACCACATTCGGTGGAACCGCAGTCGGCAGTAGTGCTGCTGAGACGTCGACTCCACGGATAGACGCCGTCGGGTGCTGCGCTGCCATGGCTATCGCCCAGGCCCCTGTGCCGGCACCGATGTCGAGGATGGACAGTGGGCGGCCTGTCGGCACCGGCAGGCGCGCAGAAGTAAGCGCGCCATCGAGACAGAGCTGGAAGAGGCTGTGCTGGATCTCGAGGCGGGCACGCTCAGACTCATCGTTGGGCGTCAGGATGGTGCCGCTGCCGTGGTAGGTGTGTCCGTATGCCCGGATTGGGGGAAGGTCGTCGATGGTGGAGACAGAAGAGTAATCGCTCGCGTCCGAATCGTCGTCGGCCGTCCCCTGCCCCGAGGCGTCGGGGCACGCCGTGCG